AACCACTCAATCATCTACTAAAACACAAGCATAAATGACAATGATTTATAAAGTTGAAATAGTGAAAGTGATTGGATACATTACTTATTTATTCTAATTGTTAGAGATAAAACACATGCATAAAAGAACACGATCTATCCATACTGCAATAGCATTATTGGAATAGCATACTGCAATAGCATAGGTGACAAAGGGACGTCTTGGTGATGTGTTATCCTGGAGTGTATCATGCATTATTGGATGCCGCTGCTATCTAAACGTAAAAAAGAAATGACTTTAACCCATTTAACCATCTTTGTTCACTCGGAGATTAAGGTTTTCTTATTCCTTAAACACGAGAAAGAAACAATAAATGATTAAATATGTAAATTGTTTAAAATAAGGATGGAAAGACTTTTGAAATAAAAATAAATACAAATGTAACAATATCTTATTTGATATATAATAGTACTACCTAATCTTTAAACTTGAATTTATTAGCCTTTGCATACTTATAAGAATGCAATGCAGCACGATTTTGTATTGGCCACCAGTTAAACTCTTAAGATAAGTTATTAGATATATAATTTGACTATCCCATCACTATAGGAGAAACTGTTTGTTGTTGCCAGCGAGACGATTTATCCTTATTTGCAATACAGTGTTTAGTGTAAGAAGAAGAAAATTTTTAGACAGATTGAGAGAGGGAGGCATAGAACATCACTATGGGAGAAACTGTTTGTTGCCAGCGAGAAGATTTATCCTTATTTGAAGTACAGAGTTTAGTGTAAGAAGAAGAAAATTTTTAGACAGATTGAGAGAGGGAGGTATAGATACATGCAAGGCAACATTATTAAAATAAAGATGATAAGCAGCAGTAACAATTTCATTGGCATTGACATGAAAAAACTAATCAAGATAGGTCTGATACAAGGGCATGTCATCAAATGAATCCGCATAGTGCTCAAAAGGAATGAGCCTGTCCCATCCTCACATATTCTCCAACGCAATTAACATAAATAAATTAAATAAAGAAAGAAAAAACCCTCAACTGGATCATGGATAGACGGATTCGAGCTTTAATCCATAAATAAATAAAAAAATTGAAAAAAAATTACCAACTGGGAATTTGATGATGGTAAGTGACGGAGGAGATTTGCATGTCCACATTTTGTTAAATCCAAGAAAGCAATTTCTCCAACTCGAAATCAGTGAACTTAACATCAAGGTAAGGATTCCCAAATGTAGCCTGGTGTTGTCGAATTACTGCTGCTCATCCTCTATAACGCTGCCGTAACTGCTTTGGGCCTTCATCTCTCTATCTCTATACGTCGAATCACTGCTGTTCATCCTCCATGACGTCGCCGCCACTGCTTTGGCCTTCATCTCTCAATCTCTATACGACGCCATGATGTCTCAGGGTGGGATTTATTTTGTGATCGCGGCAGAGATTTGGAGGGAGCCGATGACTCGTTGGAAGCAAGTTACTCATGTATGTGGCATATGCCCTGACTCCGACTAGAAAACAGATATGAGATCATCTCCACCACAAATCAAGGGAACTTTATGGGAACAACTCCCTCTGTCCAAAATATAGGTCCATTTATTTCATACCAAAACATGCCCTGCCATTTTATTGGCAAAGTGAATAATATATGTGTTAGTTTGGATTAAGGCTTAATATTTGCCCATAACCACCTATCTGCTCATATTTTAGAAGTTTATATACCATATGAGTAAATTTTATAAAACTACATATACTTTGCATGATCTATCACAAAACTACAGATTTAAGAACTTGTTTCACAAAACTTTCTTAAATCTGTAATTTTGTGATAGATCGTGCAAAGTACCGGTAGTTTTGTGATAAACGGACATACTAAATCTGTAGTTTTGCTAAACAAGCTCTTAAAATGTAGTTTTGTGATAAATTGTGCGAAATGCCTGGAGTTTTATGAAATTTACTCCTACCATATCAATCATCAATATTTCTCAAATAAACTGCAAGATGATTTGGTCCAAATGATACTCCAGTACAAATAAAAAGAAAAGGAGATCCATGGACTTCCAAAGAACTCTCTATCGGAAAGATGAGAAGAAGAAACGAAGTTGTAAAATATGAACATAAACGAACTGATTTGTAGATTGGGATAAAAAAAATAGAAAAAGAAACCGACAAACTGACCAGTTGCAAGTGCGTCGAAATTGAGCACATGCATGCAATGCACGCGGTGACTAACAGCTAGGGGTGGAAAAAAAGCTCGGGCTCGTGAGCTCAGCTCAGGCTTGGCTCGAGCTTGGTTGGCTTGGCTCAGCTCGTAAGCCAAACGAGCCAAGCCCAAGCCTCCTTTTCAGCTCGTTGGTGAAACGAGACGAGCCCGAGCTGGAGCCTAGGCCATCATATGTTTATATCGATTATTTATTTTTTATGGAGTTATTATTTGTCAACTTGAAATTTTTCATTAAGATTTTGAAGAATTGAATATATAAACTTGTCAGGGTTACGGATAAGGTATACCCTCTATCCTTAGATGTACGTTGTATACTGATACGGTATACCCGCGCGTATGCGGATAGTTTCCGTATACATTAAGGAAATCTATCATGTGATAGGGATGGTATTTACGGATGGAAGGAGTTCTACTCGGACAAGACTGGGTCTTTACCATATTGTGAGGGGTCCGATATCTCCGAGTCCTACTTGGAGATCAACTGACCCGTGGTATAAAAGGGACCCCCTGGGCAGGACCTAAGGCATTGAATCTCACCGCCAACACACCCACCACAGCCTATGGAACCGGAGCGCGCAAGAGCCAAGTCGCCGGGAGATCTAGTCAGATCAACTCGACTACGGTCTCGTTGGTATCATCAAGTTCTGCTATTCCCTTTGTAATCTGTGGTTTCCATCATATAATCTCATACCAACTGGATTAGGACTATTACCTACCAAGGGACCTGAACCAGTATAATCCTTGTCTTTTGTTTGCTTGATGTCGTACTACGTAGATCCTCGTACCAACGGACCCCAATACCCCCTATATCCGGTCTACGGGTATCCCCCTGTCGACAAAACTTATTTAAATTTTACAAGTTGATGATTTGTTCTTGCTTTTTTTAATAATTATAAAATATATATGAAGAGGTGTTTCAACAGGAAGGCTTGCAAGCCAGCTCGAGCTGGCTCGAGCCGAGCCGAGCTCAAGTTTTAGCTTGTTTCCCTAATTGAGCCGAGCCAAGCCAAGCCTAGTTTGTTGTGAGCCTGGCTCGGCTCAGCTCGTTTCCACCCCTACTAACAGTAGTAGCGACCACAAGCCTGGGCTCTACAGATTCTAGAGAGAATAGGGAGGGAGGAAGAGGCCGAGCAAGGCTATAGGACGATAACCGGCTCGAGACTTCGTCATTGCCTCCGCCATCATCTTGACATCTTCATCCTCTTCTTCTCGCTATCGCTGATGTCGGTTGCCGCTTCTCTTATTCGCTATATCCAGTACTTTAGAATGCTTTTGAGGGATACTAGACCATGGGATGCCATTGGATGGGACTGCTTAATGAATCAGTCCTAACCTCCCACCTCTCACATTGACCGCATCTCGAGCTCCCATGCCACAGAAGAAATGAAACACCGCATCTTGCTATGTATATATAATCAAAATTATTTTTCACCCATCGCAATGCACTGGTACTTTTGCTAGTAAAGTATATATATAATTATGTCATCTAACTATTTTACACTTTATATGTTATCTATACTATTTATCATATAGAATTCCTGCAACAACACACAAGGTTTCATCTACTTAAGAGCATCCCCAGCAGCTACTCTATCACGTACGCCATCCCGAAAATAGCGGATGAGGGAAGAAAAACGGGCTCCAGCAAACACGCCATCACATCCTCTAATTTTCGCGCATCCGCCATTCCGGAGAGAGGAATGCCAAATTTGGCGATTCTCTCTCCTCACGCCAAATCACAACCTCTGCATCTGGGTCGAGCTCCCGCCCCCATCTGGAATTCACAGCGGCAGCAGAGGATGAGAAACAGGGAGGATCAGGGGCATCTCCGGCTAGATTGGCTATCGGAGAAGGAAGAAGGGAGGTAGAGAGGTGGCACCAACCAGATCTGGGCTGGGGAGGTTATTGGAGAAGAAGCACCGCCGCCTCCCGCAACCCGCGCCGCCGCTCCTCCGCCCGGCGACTGTCAGCAACCCCGCCGCCGTGCCGCCGCTCCTCCGCCCGCGCCGCTCCTCTGCTCGCCACCTCGCCGCCGTGTCGCCACTCCATCGCCCGGCGCCTAACCGCGCCCGCCAGCCATCACGACTGACTGCGCTACGTCAGTCGTCGCCCGCGTTGACGGACAGAGAAGAAGAGAGAAAAAAGAAGGTTTGAGAAGGGTAGAGAAGAATGGAGAAAAGGCTGAAAAATAGTGCTTCAAATATAATATAAATGTATGGTAGTTAAAAAATATTACTAAAATATAGGAATGTGTGATATGGAGAATGTAATATGGATGATCCATTGGAGTGGGAAGGGATATAAAGGAGAAATTTTTTTTGGATGGCCATCCATATAGGCATCTAGAGGATTAAATTTGGATGAGCTGCTGTGCGTTATTGATTCATTTCATTTTTCCAGCCGCAAAGCCGAACTGCAAACGGCTACTGTTTCCTGACGATGGGCTTGTCTAATTGACCGGCAATAAGATAGCACAAATTTAAATTTAATGAAAATTATCCACATTAAGTTTTACATGGTATTACTTCAAAATTATCCAAAGAAGAAGAAGAAGAAGCGGTGGCAGTAGGTCCCCAAATTAGACAAGAACATGTTATATTGTTAGGTGGTTGGCTACTTCCAGCTAGAAAAACAAAGAAACAAGCAAAGAAACATAATTTTTGGAGAAGCTCCTGCTGCTGAGCATGAGCTACAAGTCTACAAGGATGCACATGCACGTTGTTCGTTGCATACACGATTTCCATGGTGGAGGGAGTGGATGATCTGGGCCGTGCAGTGCATCGGGTGCGTGGTGGCCTGTAACCGGCGGGCGGGTCCACGTCGGCGTTGGTTGGTTGGAATCCTGTGGTTGGTTTGGCTGCCTGCCGTTTCTTCTCGCCTCGCCAACTTTCCCTTGTCCACTTTGGTTCCTTCTTCTTCCATTCCATTGTGTTGATGAGTTGAGTTGGCTCATCTCATCGTCGCCGTCCTTGAATTGCCGCCTCCCATCCCACGAATTCCGCCCCTCCCACCCTCCTGAGATCTCTCTCTCTCCCCCACCTCCGTATTTAGGTAGGCGGCGGGCGCATCACGTTCTATTGCCCCCTCCTGCCCGCCGCCGCCGCCGCACAGCCGGCGATCGAGCGGAATTCCCATTCCTTTCCGCCCGGTTTCCGGCGCTGCCGCCCCCCTCTTACCATCCCGGGGGGGCCCAGAGGCCAGGAGCTGTCGCCGGAGGTGAGATTAAATCATCAATCTTCATTCTTTATGCTCTTCTTTCCTTCTTCTGCGCCCCGCCCGCAAAAGAAAAGATCTTTCCTTTCTCCCTTTTCTTTTCTGGAGGCAAAAATAAAATTAACTTAAGCTCACCCTGTGGGTAGTAGTAGTAGGTAGATGGTTTGTTTGGATTTGGAATTGGAATTTCATATGGGCCCTTTGCTCTTTATGTTCAATATTATTTTTCTATAATAATAGATTGTATTTTTTTAATGTTGGGAATTGAATCTGGAGCTGCCTACCTTCTGCAGCCGTAAGCATAATTAGTGTTCAACTTGTTTGCACTCTTACATCATTGTATTACCTGGCATCTCTTAGGAGGAGTAATAGTAAGTAATTTATTCCCATAAATAGATGCAGGCAGGTGTCTTCACTTAACATCAAAGAAATTTAGAGTTTTCATCCAGCTGTTCTCTCTTCATTCTACAGGATGCCATTTCTTAGAGCACTTGAGTTTCACTTGCAAATTGAGGAAAACGCCTTGTCTCTTGTTTTGCTAGTAGTATTAAATTAGACGTCACTGTTTTTAGAAGCAGTTGAAAAGGGTTCTGTTTGATCTTTACTTTATCATCATGTCATGCACAAGTTATGCACATAAGACAACTTCTTCAAAGACTTCTGACCCTCTGAATGCATGCACTCTAGGATTTCAATTTTTCGGAGCCATTTGATGCTAATGCCACACCACCACTCCTGCTAAAGCTGCCCTCATTATGAACTCGCTGGACAATGAGTAGCAATTGCACATTGCTGATTTCCATCTCCTGCGGTTACATTCGTACACGACAGCATGGGAAAACTTGCAGCTGTTGTTCGCAGGTTTGTATACTTCTCTTTTTATTTTGACCCCCTACACCCTCAGCACCAGAACTAATATCATCTCCTTGTTCAACTGACATGTTGATATTTGCAGTGTACTTAGATTAACAAATGAAAGCATGAGGATTGTTATGGTAACAATTATTGGAGTGCTCTTGGGCTTCTTCATTGGAATTTCATTCCCATCAGTCAGCATAACAAAGGTAAGTATAACAATGGTTTTGTCAACAGAACTGCATCATGTCAATTGACCGTAAGAGAATAACTTAATTATCTCTGTTTGAATTATGCCAGCTTCACTTTCCTTCTAGCTTTGTATCATACATAGAAGACAGAAACTCTGGGCTCACAACACAAGCTTTGCTTAATCACGCCTGGACTTCCGCCCGAAATGCAAGGGAAAACAGTTCTGAACCAAGTTCAAACACTACTTTGAAGGTACTTTATATTACTTTTCTGCACTATTAGTTTAGCTGTAGAGTACCATGAACCATTAGAATTATGTATATTCATTTGATAGTTGTCACAAAATCCTCTGCTTGAGTAAATGATGGTTTGCAAGTAATAGCTTGTATTCCTTGCCGCTGTTCATCCCAAAAGTATAAGGTCCATTGTAACAAAGATTTTGCTTTCACAGATTTATGTCCCAACGAACCCCAAGGGTGCAGAGAGACTAGCACCAGCTATTGTTGTGCCAGAAACTGACTTCCATTTGCGCAGGTTATGGGGAGAACCAAGTGAGGTATATTTTCTTGCTCAACATACTCGTATCATTTTATTGCCAAAAATATTTGGAATTCTGGAATCTTATCTTTGTTTGTTATTTGTTCTTACTTTTATCAAGCATATACTCCTTAATCCTTTTTCAAAGGTTTTATTTTACTGTGCCTAATATGTCCTGCTATTGAGAAATTGTTGTTATATATTATTACCATGTGTCTCTTCTTGTTCATCATGTTCTGATTAAGTAAAAACTAAGAAACGTTAACCTTATATGTCCTGGTTTTCAAGTAGTTCAAAATAGAAGACCTAAACTCTGTAGCTTTCCAAGACTGTGTTGGTTGGCATGCTGATATTATGATTTTGCATATGTAGGACCTGCCCTTCAAACCAAAGTACCTTGTTACTTTCACTGTTGGATATGCACAGAAAGAAAATATCAACAGAGCAGTGAAGAAGGTAACGTTGTTGTAACTTTAGTTTGCTTAACAACTAAAATGCTGCCATCCCCAGTTTGTTTAATTTGCTTTTCAGTCTATATCCCATTTCATTAAACTCACAGGGTCTGATCATTTTGTTGTTCCGTTCTGCAGTTCTCTGACAATTTTGCTATTCTGTTGTTCCATTATGATGGTCGGGTGAGTGAGTGGGACGAGTTTGAGTGGTCGAAACGAGCCATCCATATAAGTGCCAGGAAACAAACTAAGTGGTCTGCTACTTTGCTCTGATGCTATTGTCATTCTCTCAGGTGCTCAATTTTGAAGGATATCTTCTAAAGATTTATTTATGCACATACATGTAGGTGGTATGCCAAAAGATTCCTGCATCCTGATATTGTGGCAGCTTATGAGTACATATTCATCTGGGATGAGGACCTTGGGGTGGAGCATTTCAATGCGGAGGAGTACGCTTTTGCTCTTGATGTTTCAGTTGACCACTTGTTGATATGCCATCATGCCGCACTAACATATGTCTGTCGATGTATATGATAGATACATCAAACTTGTCAAGAAATACCATCTGGAGATCTCTCAACCTGGTTTAGAGCCTGATCGGGGATTGACATGGCAGATGACAAAAAGAAGAGGTGACCGCGAGGTCCACAAGTGAGTAAACATGTTCTGCTCTGCAATAGACATTTTTCAGTTAGCAGAAACCCGCTATTCTGTTAATACTACTACCTTTTTGGAACCTAGCAACTCAAGATGCAATCTTTTCTTGTCATAGGGTTACAGAGGAGAGGCCGGGCTGGTGTTCTGACCCTCATCTTCCGCCTTGTGCTGCGTATGTGATTATTTCTCTGTCCTGAGTTTTGTCTACAGTACATCCCAATATGTATGGCGTGAAAGTGCTATCCACTTGAGTTAGGCTAACTAATCTATATTGCTGTTGTTCAGCTTTGTTGAAATAATGGCTCCAGTCTTCTCTAGAGATGCATGGAGATGTGTATGGCATATGATTCAGGTTTGTATTTCATAGTAAGCTCAATTAGTATCTTCGGGCCATTCATTTTTTTTCTTCATTTATTTGATTGTGTTAATTTCCTCTGCAGAATGACTTGGTTCATGGATGGGGCCTTGATTTTGCTCTCAGGAAATGCGTGGAGGTATAGGTTACCTTTTGGCTGTTAAATTTCACCGGCCTGGTAGAACTTCATTATGAATATGCTCACCAAATGCTTTGTGCATTTCAGCCTGCTCACGAAAAGATTGGGGTTGTTGATTCACAGTGGATTGTTCACCAAGTGGTTCCATCTCTCGGGAACCAGGTAAATGAGACATCTTCCTTTTTATTTATTTTTCCAACCAAGTGTTTGCATAACTAAAGTATGCTCATTTGATACGTTTTTGCATCCAAACGATTAACAGGGCAAGTCAGAGAATGGAAGACCAGCATGGGAAGGGGTAAGAGTCTTTGAAATTTTCCGCAGACATGAACACACTAGAACTGCGAGTCCCCTTGTTTGTAACCATAATGTTTGTTCGTTCAGGTGAGGGCGCGGTGCAGGAAGGAATGGGGGATGTTTCAGACGAGAATGGCGGAGGCGGAGAAGGCGTACTACAAGATGATGGGCATCACCCCTCCGAACTCCACACTGGTGTAGATCTAAGCTAGGCTGATTCTTCATCTTCATCTTCACTCCCATCTCTGCCTCTGTCTGAATGACGAGGATTCTGATGTGTTTTACCTGCTGTACAGACAGTTCTGATGAACTGATGAGTGTGTAGGTAGGTGGTCAGATAGAGTGTGGATTGGATGGTGATGATTGTAGAGCATACATTTACACATGAGGGAGGGAGGGCCATCGATCATGAGGAGGGTGTTATACATACCATCTATAAAATCGATTATTTTGTGTTTTTGTGGTGGTAATATTGTTTTTGAGTTCTGATTGTTACTGAGGAATGAAAGGAATGCATGCACGCTTTAGAGAGAGTGCAATATGATATCTGGAGCATAAGAACTCTGAGAAACAAACATAAAATGGTGTAAATTACCTGGAATTTGTGATATCCATTCCAAATGAGGTGGTATCGGGCTTGTTTGGTTTGGAGCCAATTTTTGCCCTACCAAAATCTTGGTAGTGCCAAAACATTGGTAAATTTTGACACTATCAAATTGAGTAGTATTCAATTTGAACTATTGTGGGTAGAATTTGGTAGCAAACTAAACGTACATTTGCTACTATTAAAGTTACCAAAATTTTGGTAGGGTAATAAATTGGAACCAAACCAAATAGGCCCATTATGTCATTCAAATTCGACGGCCCTATCGTACATATTTGCAAACGAATAATAATTTGTGAATGAAACTTATATATATATATATATATATATATATATATATATATATATATATATATATATATATATATATGTGTGTGTGTGTTCTTAGCGATCTAAAAACAAATGCTAAAAAATAAACTTCGGTGAAAAAACCCTAAAAAATCAAATTTAACTTTAAGGGTGGAAATTGAAATTTTGTCCGATAAGTATAAACATAAGCGTAAAAAAATGAGGCCCTAATATCAGTGTTGGGAAATTTCAAATGCTATTTGATCCGAAACAGGGACTATTCTGCAAACAATTTCGGATCTTAATCAGGGGCTATCCTGCAAAATAGATTGGCCGCGTGCGTGTGCGTGTCCACCCTGATCGCCGTTGGATCTCCCCTCCTCGCCGTCACTCGCTGCCGGATAAGGAACCAATGCTTCGCACCGGCGGCGGAGCGCGAGCCACGGCGGCGGCGCAGCTGCTCTCCTCCTCCTCCTCGCCGCCGCCGCTCCGCCTCCCCCGACGCTTCCTCTCGCTGACGGCCACCCCCTACCCGCTCTACTACGACCTCCTCCTCTACCGCCCCTCCTACCCCAATCCGCCCAAATCCTCCGCCGCCGATGACCGCCACACCCGGCCCACCGACGACCACCTCGACCGCGCCAAGCGCCGGTACCTCCGGAAGCGCCGCAGCCGCCTCCTCCCCGACCCCGACGCCACCACCGCCAAGCCCTCCTCCTCCTCCTCGTCGGAGTTCGTGGAGCTGAAGCCGGAGGTGGTGGACTTCCCGCGGCTGCACGCGCGGGAGGAGGCGCTCTACTTCCACGACGCGTTCGCGCTACCCTGGGAGAAGGACAAGCACTACCGCATGCTCTACCGCCTCGAGAAGAAGTACTTCCCGGACCAATCCCTCGACAACGCCTTCGTCCCCGCCGACGCCTCGCCGCCTTCCTCCGACGCCGCCGACAAGGGCCTCGTCTTCTTCGACGACGACGATAACAACAAGGAGGCGGAGGTGAAGAAGAAGAAGGATGGCGAGGATCGAGGGGAGGTGTTGGAGAGGAAGGTGGAGGATTTCTTCAGGTCATTGAAGAAAGGCCCTGGCCATGGCGAGGCTAACGTGATGAAGGCGAAGAAGAAGGAGCCTCCGCAGGTGAGGCACGAGGCGGATGAATGGCCGCAGCCGCATCTCGCGAGCAGGAGAACGGAGCTGCCGCCGAGGTGGAACGGCCCGACCGGGACAGTCGTGCTCATCGACAAGCCCAAAGGTGATGCCTCTTTATCCTCTCTTGATGAACGGTCTAATGCACGTTTCAAGAGATTGCATCAGAATTTGGTTCTGGTGTAAGAAATTAGAATGTTACCACTATTTACACAATTGCGAGCTTGTGTGCAACATTGCAGTTATTCGTGCCAAATTATTAGCAAATAGGTAGATATAGTACATCGTGTGCCAACACTAATGCTTGCCGACAGCCTTTGTTTAAAATGGTGACTGGATGGATATAATACATTCGTACATTTGAATTTGCTGTATGTTTACAAATATAGTTTATGTCATGGTTTCATGATGAGAATCTTACCTTGAGAACTAGAGTTGTTGATTTTATGTATGTTAGGGTGGACATTTTTGAGCTGACAATTCATTTATCTGAGTATGAGCAGTACATATGTGGACTTTTAGATTAGTTCCTACTAGCAGCCGTTTTTGTTAATTTGTGCACAACAAAGGTGATTAGTAAATGTCTAAAAGAGACTTGGGGATATTGCTAGAAACTTATAACCTTCTTGTCTTCCACTCCAGTTTATGGAGCTCAACATATGCCTTTCTTGTAAACCAGGCTGGACTTCATTTACTGTTTGTGGAAAGCTGCGGCGATTAGTGAATGTGCAAAAGGTAATTTTGGGATTTTTATGGTAGAATACTGTGGTTTTAGATCTTTGCTCTACAGACATGTTTATTGAATATATGATGTCAGGTCGGGCATGCTGGTACTCTGGATCCAATGGCAACTGGACTGTTGATTGTTTGTGTGGGTAAAGCAACCAAAGTTGTTGATAGGTACTCTAATATTCTCAGTGAAAGCTATTTTGTCAGATTGCCTGGGACAATTTCCTGTGGCTTATCTTATTTCAAGTTCTTATTTGTGAGGATTTCAAGCGCTGCTATGTTAGAATTTGACCTGCAGTAAACCTCCTGTTCTAGCATTCTTGAAAACTTTCCTGAGTGAATGTCCATATGCTTTTAAAGATATCAAGGAATGGTTAAAGGCTATAGTGGTGTTTTTCGACTTGGAGAAGCTACATCAACCTGGGATGCAGATTCACCAGTATGTATCTTGTATTCTGATAAAATGACCTACTGCATATATTTCTATTAGGAACTTCAAATCGGGTTTACTTTTAACTTGTATGACACGTGAGAAATTAATACAGTAAGACAACTTATTAAGTACACAATTAATACAATTGTGTTGGTTTGGCCAATCTTGATTAATAGAACTTGAAGTGTGGAAGATTTTTATTGGGGAACAATTAAGTTAAATCTGGTTTTTTTGCTACATTTAATCCTTGTTAAACTTTCTACATCTATATTGACTTTGGTTCAAATTATGCTTTTTTTCTGTTTACATGATGGTTATGCCTAACCATCTATGTATCATCAGGTTATCCAGAGAGAACCATGGGAACACATTAAAGATGAAGATATTAGAAAGGTAGCAGCATCATTCAGGGGCGAGATATGGCAAGTTCCTCCAATGTTTTCTGCCATTAAGGTACACTATCTCCTATATTACACTAAACCTGTTATTGTTTCCTTGTAGATAAAGAGAAGTTGTTGCTAGAATTCTTCTGTGGGATTTGCTAACCTCGCAGTATCTCCTATACAGTTATGCTTGATAACACAGACTACAAACCATTTGAATTATATGCCGGTTGCACTATCTCAAGTTCTCAACATCTGTTGCTGTACTGTGAATTTGTGATTGCTGTTGTTATTCAACTTGTTAATGGCATAGGTGCAGTCAGGTTTGACTGTCCCTGGTTGGCCATTTGTACATTAGTTATTATCTTATGCAAAATGCAGAATTTGTTAATAGTTATACTTTAGGTCTCACAAGAAGATGCTGCGTAGTAGTTGGTAGAATGGTAGTTAACTGTGTAGCTTAAAGAATACATAGTGTCTTTAATCGTTATCAATCTATTGGGAGGAAAAAAAAATCCTCCAACTTGTGTTGATCAACCACAGAACTGCAATTAACTAAATAGATATCAGGTTGGTGGTGAAAAAATGTATGACAAAGCAAGGAGGGGTGAAACAGTAGAGCTTTCACCAAGGCGAATATCAATACACCAGTTTGATATTGAGCGCAGTTTAGAAGACAGGTATTCTTCCTAGTTTCCCCCTTTTTTACCTTTGACTTCCTTGAGCACAGATCTACATACGCTTGGTTCATACTGTTCGAGACTCCACCTGACATGATTTTTGTTTGTGTATTTCCAGACAAAATCTGATATTTCGAGTTATTTGCTCAAAAGGAACATATATTCGATCCCTCTGTGCAGATTTGGGGAAAGCGCTCGGAAGGTCTGCTTATTATTCGGATATTCGTGTACACAGCCTTTGTTTTCATTGTTTTTTTTTTTTTGGTCTTTCTGCTTCAGGCGGTTCTGCATTGAATGAGTTGATCTATGCATAGTAGTTCAATTGTTTAAAAGTGCAGAATAACCCATCTCCTTTTTAGGTTTCTAAGATTGTGATATCATCATATTAGGCTAGAAAATCACTTTATCCACTCTGAAGATAATAGAATTTCATTTGCTACAAGTATTTGCATGACATTGAACCAGGGGAAGATATTTTGAATTTATCTATTGCATTGTGGTCGGCTAGTTTCTGGTGTTGGTTCCATCATGATCTAATAACCAAATGCCGCCTTCTTTTCTTATTTTTAGGGCATGTAGTTAAAGATCCACTTATCTTTCAGTTGACGTCCGAGACTTGTCCTTTCTTTCCATTTGAGTTGCTGTTGTTGGACGTTTCCAACTTTACATCTCCTTTACATCGTGGTGACTAAATCAGATATCCATGTTTGCCTGCAGCTGTGCTCATTTAACTGCCTTGCGGAGAGACTCAATTGGTAAGTTTTCGTCTTGTGAATTTTGACTGGTTATGCATGATGATCAATTAATTTTACTGTAATTTGAACGTCTCGTTCCTCAACAGTGAATTGTATATCAAAATTATTCATACATATTTTTAAGGGACATAAGTTCCTTTGGTCCAGATCAGCCATCATATTTTAGTTTTACTTCGCAGGCGACTTTTCAGTCAATGATGCTTGGAGTTTTGCTGAGCTGGAGGAACAAATCACAAAGGGATATTTATGATTACTCACCATGCCATTTGGCAAAATTGCAGCCATCGTTGGGTTCAGTTTGAGTTTCAGCGCTTAGCGAACAATTGCTTTCTTCCAATCTTCCCTGGTAGGCAATTGGTCGTTGAGTACTGAGAAGCTATTAACCAACAGTAACGCTCAACCCAGAGATCAGCACTTAATCTGACGTTTCAGACCTTGGGGGAAAGGAATTCATTCTGGTGTCCCTGGACACTACGGATGTAGCAGCTTTATATATTGCAATGATGCATACCTGATGTAGCATGCATCCTAAATTTTGATGTGGAACATTGTCAACATTACGATGAAATAGAATGTGGTTATACTTGATTATGAATTTATGATGAAATAGAATGTAGTAGTAGCATCTCTTCTTTGTCGAGCCAGTTCCAGCGTCGTGTATATTTTTTATGCGCCAAAATGTTTATTACTGGTAAAGGTGATGTCCAACAAAGGTATAACTTGGTTGTCTCTCATCATAATAACTAAGGTTAAATTGATAGGATTACGATTGATGATTATATAGATATCCAAACATTGTAGGTATACATGTGCCGAAGGTCAGCATAAATTAAATGGCACATCATTCTGCACTTGTCCCAAATCCTGAAAAGCCTACCCAAACTGCCGAAATGAACCCTAGAGAAACAGTCTTCTAATAAGCAATTGTTGTCATCAGCATCTGCTTCACGAACTCGATTCTCTGCAACCTCTCCTCAAGCTCCTCCTTTGATGCATCATCCATCACACCCTGCTCTCTCCTGCAAGCATCAAAGATTGCATTTGGATCAGTCAGCATTGTTCAGATTCAGCACAATTGTTACCAAATTTCAGGCTGCTCCAACAGCACCAACTGCACAATTCTTACCTTTTTTGATCATCTGAGGAAGATGAACCATGGCCCTCGGCATCGGCTTCGCTGCGGCGCGGCGAATCGACCGGAGGAGCGAGGCTGCAGCAGATGAACTGGGAGAGAAGAGGGTCAGGAGAGGAATCAGGAGCCGGCCTGCCCATGCAGTGTGAGGGTGCTTCAAAGTAGGAGTCCTCTTCATATGATCCCTTGTCAGCTGCTGCTGAGCTTGGCTTGCAAGAAAAAGAAGAAGACTTCCTCCTCTGTGGATCATGATCAAAATACCAAATGGCAATGAGCTACTACCAGTAGTAGATTTAATCTACAGGAGCTCCAATGTGGTTTGCAAATTGCAATGCCTGATCATGGCACTAGTAGCAGTGAAATCACTGTGAAAGCAATGAGAAATTGAGTACTCTACCTTGAGTAGATGTGAGTGCTGAACCCTGAAATGTTCATCAGTGTCCTTGTCAAGGTTGTCGGCGCAGATTGGACACACCTGGAGGAAAGTCATTCGATCAGATCATCATCATAGAGGAACTGATCCCAACAGTATCACCAATCTGAGAAGAATCACAATCTACAGTAAATCTTTGGAGAATATTTTGCTTAGTGAACTGTTCACCAATCACCATTAGACTGAACAGAGGTGAGGACTATTTACAAGTTCACAACTACAGTGAACAACTTGTGTGTAGTTTACTACTCCTACTACACTGTGCAGTCTCATCAATGGATTATGGTACAGACTGGCACAAGGTTAAAGTTTTTCCTTGTGAATTTTTACTGAAGTTAACACTGAAGCTTGATTCATCAAAATTCAGAGATGCATCGACAGGCACATGAGAATGCATTTGCAGCAAGAAGAGAAGAAAAGGAATAGATAGCAGGTGCGGTGCGTTCTTCTTACAGCATTTTTCATGTCAAAGCAATGCTCCTCCTGGAGATGGTCACAAAGGAAATGAACCTCCACCTCAATGTAGCAGAAGGGGCAAGGGATGTACTCCCACCACTCATCATCTCCTGAAAAAAAAAAGGAGAAAACTTTTAACCGGTAAATTCACAATTGCAGTTCTTTCTCCCACACCTGCAATTTCAGAGTACATCTGAAACAAACAAAAGAAAAGGGGGGCAATATGTTTTTTTAGGAAAAAAAAATGAAGCTCACAATGCATATAAATTCCAAGCAACAGTGAAGGTTCCTTTTCTGAACTTTTTGTGTGACATTGTGTTGGTTATTTGACAATGGTAGTAAGTTCACACTAAACACCAACAATACCTCTCTCACACACACTCTCATGTGATCCGCACTGCGAACCTTTCGATTTACATTCACAAAAGAGATTAAACCGGTAAACACCACATGAAAATGCATATAATGATCCTGAATTAATTCTCCTTTTCTCTGAAAGGAATCCTGAATTAGTTCCAATGGAACAGATGTCAAACACCAGGAGAAATTCTCGCCACAAAAACCTCCCAAAAATTGCTGATTCTTTTGATGATAAGAGATCAAACATATGCAAGACAGGAGGCCATTGTCAAGAAATCAGTAAACATGGAAAAAAAAAGAGGAAACACAGACAAGAGAAAACACTCCGAGAACTGAACTGAACTGAATACCCAACCATAAGAACCACTCGAGGAGCTCAAAGGATCCACCAAGAACCAAAATTTCCTTGGCACAGCACAAAACAAAGATCACCTAACAAGACATACAGGCAGGCCAAAGAACATTCAACAACCAACCAAGAAGAGATCAAAGTGACCAACATGTAGATACCTGAAAGTTGATAGTGGGGATGGCCATAAAGGTGCTGCCTCCCTGCTGCTGGTGGTAGGAAGCCATGGTGAGCCTCCACTTCCATCTCTCTCCCCTCTCACCACTCACTATTCACTAGTACTACTCCTCTCTTCAGTCTTCACTATCCTCCTCTTGTTTACCTCCACAACAACAACACATGCAAAGAGAGGAGTTGGAAAAGCCTTTGTTGCTCCTGGCTCTTCCTGTGTATTTATATGTGGCTGTCAGGACTTCAAGAAGCCTAGCCCTTTTAGCTGCAGGAATATTTCAGTGTGCATCTCAAAAGGCAAAGTGGAAATAAAAGGCTGGTAAAAAGGCAAAATAATGAGATATTACTTTCTACTTTTCCTCAGAAATTATTAAACAAGACACACCAGACACCACTGCACATTCTCATGAGCCAACATCACATGGAAGCTGTCTTAAATATATGTAGAGAAATATCTCCATGTGTTAATGAAAGTAATATAATAGTGTAATGCAGTAATCATCTGCATTTGCCAGCAATTTGAAGAGTCAGCTAGAAATTAGTACTACGTATTAAGATAGGTTACTCTCATGCATCTTGCTCTTATCCAGAGTGTCCAACTTTAGATTACACAAACATGTGGGGTCAATATAGAGGCTTAATTTACTTCCGTCTTATTTTAAATGCAGTTATGGATTTCCGTGTTCAATATTCACCGTCAGCCTTATTTAATTTTTTTAAAAAAAAAGTCACACATAAAGCATTATTCATGTTTTATCATCTAAATAAAAAAAATACTAATCATAGAAATCTTTCAAATAAGACGGATGACTAAATGTTAGACATAAACGGTGCAAAACTACGGTGTTTCTGGACGGAGTTAGTACTTTGGATTACACAAACATGCTGAAGCCTGATCAAGGCACTTTCATCTTTTGTCAGCTATCACTAACAAAACACACTGCATTGTACGGAACTCCATCAGAAAACAAGAAAAAATGGTGTAGAGATCATTGGGGGCATGTGGCATGTAGATAAACTAACATTGCAACTTGTGCTGCTAATTAGTGAAAGGAAAAAAGGAACAGTCAAGCTAGCAGAGGGTCGTTGCTGATTAGCCTAGTGTTCTTTGTGACCAGTCTTGCTCGTGTCTTACTTTAAATGTTTCATTTTTCTCCTTTTATGGTTGCCTTTTATCGCGTTTAGATAAACCTTTTTGGAAACTTGGAAGCCAAGTCTAATGGAAAAGCATCAGCAGGAGGAAAGCTAAAACAGAACACTTTTATGTATGTCCCTTTCACTAATTTACACATACATTTTTCTTCTACTCCCTTCATCTCTTTTTTGTTTGATGTTGAATTAATCAATGTCATACATTTTATTATTGAAAAAAATGCCATACATTTGGAAACAGAGAGGTAGTATATGCCAATTGTCACACAGAGCTCTGCATTTGTAAGTAAATACTCCTTTATAGGGGGATGAATTTTCTGTTAATTAATGTAATAAACAATCACAAAATCCTGGAATGTTGAGAACTTCAGTATAGGAGGATTGTTTCCCATTGCAACACTCGTCGCTCGAGACGGTTTCCGGTGAACCCGGAAGGCCGGAAAAAGAAGTTGCAGACTCGCAGTTACTCTTTCTTTCTGTATCAAAATAAACCAATTTCATATGAGATGTAACACCTCAGTTCATATCAGATTCATCGTACGAGTTTGGTTTATTTTTGACGGAGGGAGTGCACTGAACACCACCACCACCACCCCGTTCTCCGTGAAGTGTGTGACAGTATCTTTGGTGGTCAGCACAGCACAGCACAGCACGGCAGCAGCTAGCCTGGGGCAGGACTGCAGCAGCAATGAAAGCTGAAAGGCGTCTTGTGGAGTTGTGGAAGCCATCTCACCATTGCCATTGCCATCGCCATTCCTCTCTCTCTCTCTCTCTCTGGCCTCTCTTGCCACACACCTTACATCCTCAAAAAGCAGACAGATAGAGACAGCCATTGTCAGGGTTCTCTGATTCTCTCACTCACTCTCTCTCTCTCTCTCTCTCTGTGAATATGTGTGTGTGTGTGTCCACTCAGCAGTCACTCCCTCAATGGCAGTGAGGTTGTGATGTGCGTGTGCCCAGCTTTGTGTGTTGGAGTAGTAGAGTCTTGCAGTGTTGTGTTGCACCGCAATATTATGGTGGTGTTTGTTTCTAGCACCAAATATGAAGATGGAAGTTTCCATTATCTAAAGAGAAATAAAGACGGAAATTACGTAAACAAGAAAGCTATTAATACACATGATTAGTTAAGTTTTAATTATTATATCTGTATTTTATAGCGACTTCTATATAGAAAGTTTTTTATGAAACATATTGTTTAGTAGCTTAAAGACATGCTAACGGAAACTAATGTAAAATCTGCGTTTAATTAAGAAAAAACATTACTATGTGAAGACCTTTCGACTGGAGCTTAACTTGGAGTTAGAGGCCACCTTTTTCTCTCTGTCCTGGGGTTTAGGGGAAAAAGAGATTAAGGAAAACAACTAGAGTAAAAAATCATGTTTTTTTTCTCTCATCGTCCTTTCTTGAAGGCAGATCCATCTGCTTGCTTGTCTTTTTCCATGTTGGCTTGTGCATGCCATTGCTGAATGCTGATCAGCCTCAGCTGTGCAGTGCTGTGCTGAGCTGATTGATTCCCTGCAGTGCTGGCCTGTCATGCTCATGCCCTCTAGGATTGTTGTTACTGGTAGGAAGAGTACCTTGGTACTAGTTGTACTAGCAAAGAGTTGGCAAGATATTTCCAACTTTCTCAGACACGTTTCGACCGGTGGCTCTTCTAGTTCTACACCCTTAATTAATCTGCGTCCTGATGATCACCTTGCAATTGGCCATCAAACTGTCGCAGATAATTATAGTACTTACTTTGTACTGACAAGGATTAAACTTTTGTCCTTAGAGAATTCTGCCACACATGCATGCTTATGACCAAGGTCTGACTCATTTCATCTCTAATAATGCAACTGGGGAACAAAAATCCATCCAAGTTCTGCAAGATTATGAGAACACCTCAACTGGGTAGCAGGACAGTATCATTTAGAACATTAATCAAGTTATAATCCAAACAATACTCTGAATCTTGATATTAAAAAAGCAGGTAAACACAAAGCACCAAACATTTCTGAAGATCCAGCACGTTTGATTTGTTACCACTTCCAACCATAGCAATTTTTTTGGCATTTCGGTAATGCCAAATGTTGCTAGGGTTGATTTTGGCAAGAAATGAAACATGCCCAAAGAGCACATCATAATGTAAAGGTACCATTAACATAGGATCCAAAAAAAAGACGGGAAAGGAGGTATTTGTTCATGTTACATACAAAGAGTCACACAGAACCAAAGGGTTCAGAAATGAGGAAGGGGGAGGGTGACTCCGCACAATTTCTACTACTCATCGTTTAGTCATTTATATCACATTATCAACACAGCAGTAGCATAACAATTACATAAGCATACAAATTAAAACAGTTGCTGCTGTGATATACTCTGGTAGCACATACGATTGTATTGACACACATTGATTATGAAACAAACAATGTGGTGGTACAGTACACTTCAGGCGGAGCCAGGTCTAGCAGAAGAGACTAACAAATACCAGGCAAACCCTGACCTCGCAGTTATCAATTTATTGGCTGAGTAGTTTGGAATCACAGGCCACAATCTTCACCTTGCCAACTTGTTCTGTAGTCTCCTCGTTCTTGAATGATGCTTCAGTCAAGATGAATGTCCATACATTGTCACAGAACCTGTAAGTGTGCAGGTGGCCCTGAGAAAAGAACATGCATCAGTAAACAGCCCAGCTACAAAATATCTGAAATACAGGCTCAAAAAGTTAGTCAATCATCCATCGTATCTAAGCTGTACCAGAGAACTTATTCTTAAATAAACAAAAAAAATCCATCAAATACAGGTCTGTTCGACATTGCGTCCAAAATGACAAGAGGCTTAAACTCATGTAACTAGAATGGAAAATTTCTGGAGCAGGATAGCAAGTTAGAAAAATAAAGAGTAAATTTCACAAAACTACATGTATTTTGCACAATTTATCACAAAACTACAGATTTAAGAGCTTGTTTCACAAAACTACAGATTTAGTATGCCCGTTTATCACAAAACTACAGGTACTTTGTACAATCTATCACAAAACTACAGATTTAAGAACTTGTTTCACAAAACTATAGAATTAGTGTATTCGTTTATCATAGGACTACACATTTAGTGTCTTCATTTATCACAAAACTACAAATTTAGTGTCTCCATTATCACAAAACTACAGGTTTTGACAATGCTAAAACCTGTAGTTTTGTGATAATGAAGACACTAAACCTGTAGTTTTATGATAAATGAAGATATTAAATCTGTAGTTTTGTGAAACAAGTTCTTAAATCTGTAGTTTTGTGATATATTGTGTAAAATACCTGTAGTTTTGTGATAAACGAAGACATTAAATTTGTAGTTTTGTGAAATAAGTTCTTAAATCTATAGTTTTGTGATAGATCATGCAAAGTATATGTAGTTTTATGAAATTTACTCAAAAATAAATAAAACAGAGATTAATTCAAACTCCAGTTCATGATTTTTAAAATGGTAAAATTTCCATTAGCAAAACTCTAGTTCATGATTCTAAAATAGTAAGTCCAGTTTATGACTGATAAAACCATGTACATTTCTTAGCTAATGGTTAATGGAATGCCAGTTCTCCTGCATTTTCGTCAAAAATAAAACAGAACACGTAACATCTCAACACCACATATCATAAATGACATATTGTAGAGGTGATCCCTTCCTAATACAGCAATTCAGTGTGGGATTAACAATTCTTTGGAAAAGAAAAAGAGAACTGCGGTTTGTCAAAAGAGGGATTTCTTAAACCCACACAGTGACAGTTGTAAAAGAGTGGCCGGATATATGAATTTATCAATTATCGCATGTCTTCATACACTGGACATTATCAGGTAAAACACCAAAACAAATGAACTGGTAACTATGCTTCAACCATTTTCAGGCTAAACATACAAAATGGCTATGCAAACATTACATTTTACAAGTAAAAATGAAAATCAGAACATGCAATCTCCTTTGTGAATGTATGTCTTAGACAGCTGAATAGGTCCCAGCTGATGGGAGATTGGTCGAGAGTGCTCAGAGTTGAAAATTGAAAATTGATGGCCATGGTTGGATCATGAGGATTAAGTGTACTGCTAAATTGGAAAGGCCGAAACAACTTAAGGAACAACTAAGAAGGGGCAAGCAGCAGATTCACGAGAGTTCAGATGCCGACAAAACGTCATCTGCAATTTTGTAATATCATAAATGCTTTAACTGAAGATTTTTCCATAAGCCAAAACTAGAAATGGATGATAAAGGTGTGCCGTATTTAGAAGCTATAAGATAGCGTTTACCTCCTTTTGTTATGGGCATGGACCAGGCCCATGCAGCAGTTTAGGCATTATAAATTAGGAATTACTCATATAAAGGTAGGAGATTATCTAGTTAGGAAAGAGATGAGGTCTATTAGAAAGTTAGAGATAGAGATTGCACTGGTTTCTATGGTACTAGATATTAGTTCCTTGGATATCAAGCCTGTCCTCCCTATATATAAAGGGGTCCCACGTACTGCATTATCAATCAATCAATCAATGAATCTCTAAAGCTAGCCCTAGGCCTCAGAGCCTCTTAGCTCAGCAGGAAGAAGCCCTGCCTCTGCTATTAGAGGGCGAGTGCCCTATCCCCCAGTCTTTGCACCCTTACCCTAGCCAATCCATAACATTTGGTATCAGAGCCAACTGATGCTCCACCCTCGATGGCGTGCAGCGGGGATTTCAATTGGATGTGGAGATTTCGCCACCTTGAACCTCTCCCAACGTTCAATGGTGAGGATGATCCGCAAATTTGGTTGGAGAGTATTGAGCAGTTCTTTGTTGAGCAGCGAATTTATGGAGGAAGAGAAGTGGTGGATTGCATCAAGCCACCGGACCAGGTTTGCCGCAATGTGGTATGAGTTGATTGAGCGAGCCTACGGAATTCAAACTTGGCCAGAACTCAAGAAAAATATCAAACTTCGCTTTGATGATTTGCCGACTGCTACCATTGAAGTTCTTTCCAAGAAGATATCTGCTAGTGCTCGAAGACTATCTGTCCGCGAGGGGTGTAGTGTTATGGGCATGGACCAGGCCCATGCAGCAGTTTAGGCATCATAAATTACGAATTACTCATATATAGGTAGGAGATTATCTAATTAGGAAAGAGATGAGGTTTATTAGAAAGTTAGAGATAGAGATTGGACTGGTTTCTGTAGTACTAGAGATTAGTTCCTTGGATGTCAAGCCTGTCCTCCCTATATATAAAGTGACCCCATGTACTCTTATCAATCAATCAATGAATCTCTAAAGTTAGCCCTAAGCCTCATAGCCTCTTTTAGCTCAGCAGGGAGAAGCCCTGCCTCTGCTATTAGAGGGCGAGTGCTATATCCCCCGGTCTTCGGACCCTTGCCCTAGCCAATCCATAACACCTTTCTAGTCTCCGGTAGCAATAGAGATCAATTCTTGCAAAACTATATCTAGGATAGCGTTTTACATACTTATCACATGGGTGCATGCATGCACCATAGCCCAGCAGGTTGTCATGGACAGATCTGTTCATCATCCAGGTGGATAGCTGCTATCAGGTAGTCGAATCTACAAGACAAACATGATCTTTCCAGCTATAACTAATTCTTAAATGCTATAGATTTAGCCCAACTCTTTTAGCATGGAGCAAAGCTCACCGATAACAACTACATAGCTACAGTAATATAATGCTCTTGATGCACCTTTCGTGAAAATGAGTCATATACAAATGCATCAATAGAATAACAAGAACAGTGCTGAACTATCTAGTGACTAATGGGACAAGAATAAACACGACAAAACGATTCACCCGAACTTGGTGAGCTGCCTGTTGCGTCTACGAATGGCCCAGAGGACTGATTGATACTACAAGCACAGTTAGAGGAGCAGAGCACTGAACTATGACAAGAATGGAGAACAGGGAAGTGTGATTATCGTACGAACCCAGCGATGAGCCCTAGATTGCTTGTGATCAGAAGGGAAATTGAGATGTTGAGTGGTCAAGTCGCTTCTTGGCACAAAAAAAAAAGGTTTCTAGCAGAGTACCGTCTTATGTTTGGTACGGTTTCTAGCATCATTACTGGTTTGTTATTGAGCTCCAACGCTGTTTGCGGCTTGTTTCTCTTGCACAATATTGCAGATAAAGAAGTTCTAATAAACATGTACACACCAGGGTCACTTAGTTACTTTATTTCTTGTTTTGGTTTATGGGGAAAAATCAGTGTTTTAATATGGGCAATATTGCAATGTGTGAGTTTTTTTTTCTCGAAACCACAGGAGGACTGCGATTCATTTCATTAAGAAGAGAAATTGTACAACCGAGTGACCCAAAGGACCCCTACAGAAACACAAAAAAACATCACGGAACGCGACGTGCAACCGAAACACCCCCTAGGAGAAACTAGCCGTCCAGGGGGAGCAACCCACACAGAATTTCGAGGAGTGCCTTTGCTCCAGCAGTACACCAAAGAGAACTCTCTCTAGCCACTGCATGCAAAACAGCCGAGATTCTCGGGGAGGCACCATTGAAGACACAATCATTGCGATGCTTCCATATTTCCCATGCCACTAGGATAATCAAAGAGTTCAGCCCTTTCTTTACCTCTTTAGGAGTATCCTTAACTGTTTTGAACCACCAGCTAGACAAGCGATTCATTGATGGTTGCAGTGCTGCAGCGCCCATCCAACCATTTGGAAGATTAAAAACCATACTTGCCAGGAAAAAACACAAGTCACCAAAATATGCTGTATAGTCTCCTCCTGATCGCATAGAGGACACACATCCGGGTGTGGCATTCCTAACTCGCACATGGTTGCGATGTGGTAGTTAGGGTCTGAGGCTATTGTAATGTGCGAGTTGCCTATATTTTGCATACTTTTGACTTCCATTTATAAAAAAGGGGCAAGGGGCCAGGAGTAAAGCGGATTACAGTAAGATACGTAAACAAGTCACCCATTGTTGGGCAAAAATATCAGTCCATTTCTGTGATTACCCCCAATTCACAAACAAAAAAGAATCTCTATCATGCCATAGAATAACAAACTACATGGGTATCAGAAAGAATGACACTAATCTTTATTCATAATTTCATTTTGGTGAGGATTATGCTGGCAAGAAAAGATCTTGACATTTCTCAGGCTTGTTTATCCAATAAAAGGTTTTTCTTTCTTTTCTTTTTTTTTGGGGCCAAACACAGATGAGCAGCTTGGAATCTGAGCAACTCAAGGAGTACTTGATGTGTTGCAAAATAAGATAAGTGGAAATATGCTTGTACAGCCGAAAAAATAAAAGCATATATGTGATAAGTGCAAGATTTGTCTGGTTATGCCCGTGTATTATGTTGCTGATAGGTCTTAATTCTGTTACTCGCTTACTCATTACTATAAAGTTTGTGCAATATCCCTCAGAACTCAGAGCAGCGTACACAGGACAGGTACGTGTCGAACGTGAATGGATTCCTTTATGAATAATAATAATAATATAATATATGCAAGAAACAAATTTTAGACTTGATTCCTTTAGCAAGGTGTGTACGGAAAAGAAAATCGAATGGCAACGCTGAATCCACAACCAAGTGTATCAATTCTAGCACTGGAGAAATTACATCACAAGCGCATATGAGTTCTCAAGCATAAATAATGAGTAGGCTCGAAACAGATAGAGATTAAAGTTATGCACAGCACAAGTAAGGCTTGGTTTTTTTTGGGGGGGTAGGAACAGCAACATGGCAACTCCGTGATAAGAGCAGATACCTTGATAGAAACCTTGCTCTTGACTTGGTTCTCCAAGGCTTCCGTCATAGACTAATCACATAGATGATAACAAACAAAATGAGGAGTCGAATTTTTCAATAGTATAGATAGTAATAGGTGGAAGGAGATATGGTAAAGTAGATACCTTATCAAACTGGACAAGAACTTGAATGGCGAGCTCCGGGCTGAGGGTGCCGCTGGAGACCATCTCGTCGAGCGTCTCAGTGAGGCACATGCCAATGGTGGACCTCCGGTAGAGCTCGAAGGTGGCCATGGGCGATGCGTGCGCCTAAACTTTTTGGGGTGGGGGGAACAAACAACAAAACTGTTGTTACTTGTAGTATTAAGAGAGGTTAAGGCTCTGAAATTAAGAGCTTCTTCCAGATCTAGAAGAGAAGAGAAGAGAAGCTAGGGTTAACGAACGAACGCGAGCAAATTCCAGACAAAAGTAGAGAGTCCCGGTGGGAGAGAGAGAGATGAATTCAGAGAAAGAAAGAAAGAAAGAAAGAGGATGGTCACCTGCAGGATCCCCTCCCCTGCTCTGCTCTGCTCTTCTTGCCCGATGGAGATCGCGAGTCGGCTTGTTGGCGCAAGGAGAGGAGGAGCGGAGGAGACGACGAGACGCCAGATTTCTCTTTATTTTACGCCAAAGAGAACCATTACTCGAGTTATTTTACAGGGAATATTTGCCACTCTTGGAAATGCTGCTATCCGCCCAAAACCAATTTTGGAAAATTTCAGGAAACGAATTCAGATTTTCTTTTTCTCGGAATCGGAAATATTTAGTATTTATAATTGCAATTATAGATAAATATAGCTCTTTTTCTCCAAGAAAATAAATTATACACCTAGTTATATTATTATTAATTGATAAAAATTATAAATATCGATTTATTGTTTCAGAGAGATATTGAGCTATATCTCTTCATGGATTTTAGAAGTTCAGCTTAAGGGGCTTTTATATTCCGATAAATATCTGTTACCGTATTCGCTCCATTTTCGTATTCGATAATATTTGATTCCATTTTTGTATCCGTGGTTTTCGATTTCGAACAAAATATGGAAATGGAAACGATAAAAGAGTTTTTCGTCTTTTTCCAAAGCGTTTTCATCCCTACTCGAGTACTCCACCTTTATCTCAATTTTTTTACTACTTTAAAACTAGCTATTTCTTTATGATTATTGATGGACAAATATATTGATAGTACTCAGAGAAAAAAAATGCAACAAACAAGGTTGGGGATTGTATCAACGGCAAACTCCTTAGACCACCAATAACCACTAGTTGCCGCTCCACACACACCGCCACCACCGCTCTTTTTTCCATTAGCTACCACCATTGTTCCTCCTCTCCGCCTTTACATGCATAGCCACACCCTCTAGTCATCGAGATGTCTTTTCCCCTCCCCCGTCATCATGCACACTATTGTTATGGTCACCGTTGAGGTTAGGGGCTGTCGGGTTTGCAGGGACTTGGAGTGGCAGGAGCTGGCCCGACAAAGAGCAGGGAAGCTAGATCGGACTCCTCCTTGCTGGATCTGACGATTCCCTAGCTTTCAAAAGGAAAAAGGAAAAGGCAGAAAGAGTTAGTGCGTGGAATGGTTGTAGAGTCACCGGCCTTGAAGATGGATAGAATGGGGTAGTCCAAAATGAAATGTAAAGTTAGATGTTGTGTATATGAAAAAAATGGTTAAACGATGATATAATATGAACACTTTCAAGAATATATAGTACAAACTGCAATTTATCTTTTTTTTTTCTCTAGCACAATTAAATATGAGTTGTCCATTACCCGATAGTCTCGCGATATGCTAAGCACACTACAGTTTATCATCTGTGCACATCCATGGAGACCTTGACATCCAGGGGGGACGAAGTATACGCGGGCATAGCGACGACTAGGGAAATACTCTGTGAAAACGAGCTAAGTGTTGAAAACTCGTGAAATCATACCTAAAAGTTTAGTAAATTCATGAAACATTTGCTAGAGATATGTGTAGATTTGAAGTACATTCTCACCAAATGTCAAGTCCAAACTCAGCTTCATTTGAGAGTAATAAAAATGACAAATTTCAAGTGGATTTTCATTCCCAAATAAAGTTGAGTTTATTTGTCTTTTTTACCATTCACCTGAAAATAGTTACTATTCACCTAAAAAATATTTATTTTTACTCTCGAATAAAGCTAAGTTTGAACATAAGATTCGGTGAGAATGTAATTTTTTTCATGATTTTTCACGAGTTTTCAATACTTAACTCGTTTTCACGGCATATGTCCTCAAAATTTAGAATCAACAATTAACAACTTGTTACTGCTACGGGTTATCTTTTGGTACCAATATAATTAGGTGTACTACTTTATGTTTGATGTACTATTCCGCTGCACGTCGTCATGTTGACACTTTCACTACAGTAGATAGATAATCATATCTTCTTCCTCTTCTTTTTTTTTAAAAAAAAATCATTTTCCTTCTTAAACAACACAGCATGAACTGCAGGCTGTAGATGCGTGCCGCCCTGTGCTTGATGATATGGTTGCGTGTTCGTATATGTGTTACGTGTAATTAAGGTTGCAAAATATAAACTAAATAGAGATATAGCCGACCGACAAGGTGTATATACACTTGAATAATTAGATGGTCACTGCAGGCAAGCAATTAGATCGCAGAGGCACATCAGGGGAGGTATTAGGCAACTAACCATGTTCAAGGATTGTAGTTGGAAGCTCCAGTACCAGCCATCGCTATTGTCATTTTTGTCATACAATAAGCACTTCCAATTATGAAGCATTAATTAGCGGTCAGCAGTTTAAGCCATCGATTTAATATGAATTCTGCAGGGTTTTATAGAATTCTGTGAAATTCTAATCAGAAAGGAATTGAGTGTTTTCAAGGAAAACATACGCCTGTAATTTGCAGGCTCATGCATGAAATCCAACATACGGATTTTATCAGGTGATGAGAATTTGGAGAAAGATAAAGCTGGATAAACGAAGAGGGTGATTAAGAAACGACAGACAGCTAAGCATTCTTTTGTTTCTTCTTCAGAAAACAGATGGGCATTGTCACACTACAGTAGCTGTATGTAGCAGTCTAATTTGATACAATGAATGGGTAGCGGTGCAATGTTCAGCTAAAATTTGAGATTAAATTCAACCTTATTTTTAGCGAGGAAATTCAAATTAAAAGAAAAAAAAACTAAACCTTTAGATGTCATCTTATAACTCAAGAAAACTTACAACTCAATTTGTCAAGCATTCAACTCAGATGTTCCAGTTCTCATTTAAAAATAGCGTATCCCACGATTCAAGTTTTTTTTAACAAATCCAAAGCGTTATAGTCGAGATAGGAAGCTTTCACTTTTGATGGAAAAAAAATCCAATTCGGCAGTTACAAATCGGTTAATTACTTATTTAGTGGTAATTTCGAACTTCTATTGTTTTAATTTTTAAGAAATGAGAAAACAGCTAGTAGCAGCTATCGAGAACTTGTTTTATTTCTTCTTCAGAAAACGGATGGGCATTGTCAGACTACAGTATAGGATGGGGAAATCTAATCCCTTGTTTTTCAGATGATGGGTCCTCCCTGGAGTGTGGGAAAGGGTTGCAGTACAAATTTTAGGTTAAATTCAACTATTTAAAAAATAAACCTTGTGATGTCAGCTTATATCTCAAAACAGAACTTATGACTCTATCAAATTTGTCAAACACTCAACTCAAGAGATGAGCTTTCATCGAAAATATAGTACCATATGCCTCGATTTCTTACAATGTCCAATGCGTTATAGTCGAGACAGGAAAATAAAACAACTTACCATTCGACAGCTACAGATGGGTTAATCAATTTGTTTCCTGGTAATTTCGCAAATAACCGCCTTATCTTCTAGAAATGCAAAGAGTTTGTCGCGGGGAGAAAAGGGTTGGGGGGCCTTTCTTCCTGGGTTCAGTTCAGTAGACTTGCCGTTTAAGTTCTTCAGACTTGACGATGATGATGCAGCAGCAGCAGCAGAAGCTTTAATAATGCTTGGAGCCAGCAACAGCAAAGAAAGGGAAATCCATCCATTAAAAATGACATTGCAACCAACCAAAACCAACAATGGACTACTTCCATCCAGACCCTCTCAAGATTCTTGTACTCCCTCCATTTCAAAATGTTTGACACCGTTGACTTTTTAGGACATGTTTGACCGTTCATCTTATTAAAAAATTTTGTGAAATATGTAAAACTGTATGTGTACATGAAAGTATATTTAACAATGGATCAAATGATATAAAAAGAATAAATAATTACTTAAATTTTTTGAATAGGACGAATGGTCAAACACGTGCTAAAAAGTCAATGGTGTCAAACATTTTGAAACGGAGAGAGTACTGCATCATTTTCAGGAGTTGTATTGTAATTCTGACAATTAGAGGATAGTTGTAGATTTATTATAATAAGGTTGATTAGTTCTCTGTAGAATATACCATTTGCAGAAATGGTCTCGAACGACTGCAGGAGCCAATAGGAACTTAACAAAGAAAATTAAGAATGAAAATAAGATTCTTTTTTTTTTGAGAGAGAAGTTGCTAGTACAACAATCTGCAGATTTGAGAAAAAGGAAGAAAAGTTTTGGATGGGTTTGCAAAATGCAGAGAGAGAAGAAGGAGGAGGAGGAGGAAGAGTTTGTGGCGAGGAGGCTTCCAAATCAGTCGCTATCATACATCTCCCTCCCTTAAATCTCATCAACCCCCCCAAAATTTGTTACTTTCGGAGTATATTTATTTACTAGCGCGACAGTGCCAATTTCGCGGCATCTACTGCTTCTGCTGCTGCATGCTCCTCCTCGTCGCCGGCGATCTATCTCGCCGCCCTGCCTCCGCCGAGATCGACATCCAGGTACTTACTTGAACCCTCCTCTTCCCTTTCCCGGCTATAAAGATTCGTTTTTTTTTCTCTCGATCTCCTCGCACCCCTCTCAACTCGCCCAAATTCGCCGGCGTTTCGTGGAGGTGGCGGCCTGGTTGGGGCAAACTCCCTCCGTTTAATCTTTCCAATTCCAATTCCAATTCGGTGGATGCAGCGGCGATGATGCTTTGCGGCGGCGCCTTGATTCCGCGCTCGACAATCTACTGTTTTTATAGATAAGATCTTCAGTGAGCGAGATGCCATCCCTGCAGCTGCTGCAGTTGACGGAGCGTGGCCGGGGACTCTTGGCCTCAAGGAGGTAACAAAAGTGCTTCGCCCAAAATACTTTCTTCTTCTTCTTCATCATCCTTTTGCTCCAACCTGGAATTTTATAAGAAGAACAAGGAAAAGAAACACATTCTTGTTTGTGTGGGAACAGGAAAACTCTTGCGGTTGTTTCTGGCGCGCTGCTTGCCGGAGGAGCTTTGGCGTATGCACGCTCAAGCCAAGGCCAACGGAGAAGGCGTTCAGAGGGTGACGATGCCACCACTGCATTGGCCAGGAATGGGGACAGGATGGGCCAAAATGGTGTGGATGGTAGATTGGCCGGAACAAAGCGAAGAAAAGGTGGCCTCAGATCTCTTCATTTCCTTGCTGCCATCCTACTGAAGAAGATTGGACCAAATGGCACCCGCTACCTTCTTGGCTTGACGTTAACTGCGGTAATTTCTGCCATTCTATGCTGCTGCTGCTGCACTCATTTCTCTATGTACATTCTTTTTTTTATAGAAAAA